AACACGACAACGAATCGATGGGTTTCCAGGAATGAGGACTTCGTGCAATTTTTGAAAATCAGGGAGACTTCGTTTTCAAGAAGAAAGCCCTTAAAAAAGATTTTTGCCGGGCCCTGGACTGGTGCCCTCTCTGGCAGAAGCACGTTGTCGAATTCAAAATGGATTCCAGCGATTTAATTTGACGAAATCAAGAATTTCCGATACGCACATCTTGGTGCAGGATGAATTAGATTCAAGTCACTAGTCGAATATTCCTCGTTTTCTTGTTACTGATACCTACATATACCAGACATTATTTAGAACCATTTTATTCATCAACTAACCGTGAGGTAGTTTCATTTCGCTCTACAGTAATTATGAGCATCTCCATTATACGGGAGATTTCGAGAGTAGAAGAGAGAGTAGAAGCTCTGAAATGTGATCTTCAAGGAAATTTTTTGCAATGTAGTTTTCGCAACTGTATCCGCCTTATAACAGCGATGTTGGCACTGATCCAAACGTGCCGATTGACCTCCCAACTCATGTTGATCAGTTGTTAATCCTTGCCATAAGACGCGGCAAAAAAGCCGATTAGCAAACAGACGTATACCATTTATAGACCCGTCGATCATTGCAGCTGATAACCTATCGCAAATTATTGACGGACGTGTCTAGTACTGTGTGTTTACTTCCCCCTTCTCATCATTTCTAGTTTGAAATTCTTTCTTGCGCTTTGAGTATAATTTTGATGTCCATGACACCCACTCTAGTGACATAAACATGCTGAAAAGAAAGTTTTTTTTCTATTTACACTACAAAAAAACGCATAGGGTAAGACTGGACGGATAAAATGCCTTTGCGGTGACTATAACGTTTACGCGTAAACAGTGCATGTAGCCGACAACTTGCTTGTGACTGTAAGACAGAAGATTCCTTTTCCCCTATGCCCCTTATTTCAATGGAGATATCAGCCTAACCTTAGATTCTCAATCTATTCCATCTAGTTTACAAGGTAACTCTCATGGAAAATTCGAGAAAATGTACAGATCCGAACCCTATTGATCTTCTACACTCTCATGTCAATTGGAAGTGCACTTCTAAAGAACAAACAGGTGATACGATCACTTTTTCACCTATCTCCTAAAGAGACAGTTTGGCAACGAGCTTCATTAATCAAATCAAGGACTTGCCCCTCAAACTGCTCTGATGCGCACTATAACCCTTTCACGAACACCCCGTTTTGGATTTTACTGTATACATTACTGTTTCGTTATTCCCAAATGAACAATTTTAAAGTTTGATACGGAACATCGCAGATTTGCTTGTTCCATAGCATTGCTATACTCATCCGCTACTCCACATCTTCTCTACCATCTTTCATCTCTGCACCCTATTTTGATAAAGTATAACAAAAATGTCTTATGCATTTGACAGATAAAACACTAGACACATACAAAAGAGTCTTAGAATTACTCTAAGTTTTCCAACACTATCCGGTTTCGGGGCTAAGAACTATACCGGTAGTGCAGCCTCCCTGGTGCCCCTCGTCAGTAGTTCCCAACGAAGCTTCAAAATTAGCAAAAGATTTCAGCAAAAATTGGAATCCAAAGTCAATCTCAAACACAAAAACACTTTCTGGCATTCTCTAATATGTTCGTTTTTAAAAACCTCCTGACCAAGCTCTTTGGTGCCAGAGCAAAGCTCTATCTGATCATGGGCAAAGTTCAAAAAACACTAATTTATCTTAGCATTAATTGTGAAAAATTGTTTTCAAACGCTCATCTTCATCCTTCATATCAAATTGTTTCATTTGAAAGGTGAAAAAAGATTCTTTCACTATTCATCAGAAATTATTGGCGAACTTTACTGCACCTAAGCGTCTGGATGAAGAGGACGAAACAAATTTAAGGCAGCTCGAAGACAGCGGGTAGATCTGCAAGGAAATTAAACAAATTCTGCGTGATCCATTTATGCTACGAAATACTGTGACAATGCAAGGTTCATGTTTCAGACCTGAAAACTACTGCTTTTGGTAAAGCTGTGAGCGCTTACGACTTAGGAGAACTCAGTTGTTATTGAGATGTTTTGTTTCTTCCGACAATTCAGCAAAACTTTGTGATCCATAAAATTTGAAAATCAAATTCTTTTTGAATTTTATGTATGGAGTCATTTGCTGAGCTGTGGTTCAAACAAATTTGTGGTCCCACAAGTCAGAGCATGCGAGACTTCGACAAATAAAAACGCAAATTAACGTTTTTTCCTTACTTGTAAGCACTTCCATGTTTGGCACTAAATCGGGGTTAACCACTTTATCAAGCTTCTTTCCCACGCTTTGATAACGCTCTGAGTGTTAAGGTCAATCCAGAAAAGTCGTAAGCAGAGTGTAATCGCTTCCTTGATAAGGGTTTAACGACAGTTCTCTCTGCGAAAGGGCAGTGCCCACGCGAACACGTGAAAGTTCGTATATTTCTTTTCTCAGGTCCGTAGTCGAACATATTATTCTATGGAAGCAATACCTATAATGCCTCTCGTAGATTTTGAAAAGAAATCACCGCACTTCACCGAAGTTCGCCAAACTTCGCGTTGCATCGTCATATTCTGCTTCAGAGTGGAGGCAATTCCGAATCCAATGGCACCATGCAACCCAGCTTGAAGAGATGCATCTTTTCATGCATAAGTGCCTGTTTGGGCATAGTATTTGATCAAACTCTACGGAATCTTACCAAATTTTTGCTTAAGGTAGGTTACACGTTGTGCAATGAAAAATCACTTTAACAAGGAATGCATGTTTAGTCAAAGTGGCCTTTCTAGATGGGATTTATAAAATACTGAAGGTCATAAAGTGCTGATTCCAAATCTGCCTTCCTTATCTGCAGGAAACCTTTATGGATGAGGAGTTATGAGCGCTTATTGGAGCAAAAAACTGAATGTTGCAATTAGGACACTCTTCAATAGAGCAGTGATAAGAGTACTTCTTTCAAAAAATACTATAAAACAAAAGATATATCACACTTGGTTGCGCTATTTGAGGGCTAGTAGGTTTTTAGCAACTCATTTTTCCAAAATGCACATTTGATTTCTGGCTCTGAAAAACATTCATAAATCCTCGTACATAAACGTTATGCGGATAAGGAAGCCAGTTTTGGAATCAGCTTTTATGCCCTTTGATATGGTATACATCTCATTTCAAAGGGCCACTTCGACTGAACAAGCTTCCCTTGTAAGTAATCACCATAGGCGAAAGTCCTAAAAGATCCGTGGGATTTGACACACTACCGTACCCGAACAGTACTTTTGAATATCAGAAGAAGAATTTCGGAGAGTTGAGTTGAATGGTGCTTTCAACTACAGATTATTGTTTTGGAAATAGTGTAGATGGCTTATAATACTGCCTCACGTCTCGTTAGGGTAGTAGAGATTAAGAAATGAAGAAACTGAACTTTGCTGGTAGCGACTCTTTAGACTGAGCGTCTGGGAGATAAACAGGCAATAACATCTTTTTCACAGGAAATTCAAATTATTTGTCGTAAGCAAGGGCATCAAATCGCTGAAGTTGTACTTTCGGAAAACTTGCTAAAATTCACGCATGATCCACTCGCCTACCTTTGAAAATGTGATAAACTTCATCGAAATATACATTGAAGATTTACGGCAAAATTACGCTGACCTTTCGTTCCGGTTCTTATGACAATGTTGTTACACTATCCTAGTAACACACTACTGGTGCAGCTGTTGTTCTTTTATCGATGCTATTAGCAGCTTCTCATTTCTTTTTGCCATTTTCAAAAAACTTTTTTTCTTCGTTAGTTCCGAATTTTTACACAAATTTGAGGGAACCAAGCAATCGATTTCTCATCAGATTATAGACTTTGGCTCACTATTCAGTACTTCTAATATTTTTGAAGCTACGCCTAAACAGGAACGTTTCTAGCAGGGCTCGGCACGAGGTGGCTAGATGAAAATGGAAAAAACGAAGTCCCCCTTGACTTTTGGGAATTTTTACGAAGTCCCCTTTGACCCTGAACCAAATTTCTTCTAAAAACCTGAAAAATTCCCGAAAATCCCCCAAAAAACGAAACGTCGACTAAAAAAAAAGGTCGCCGTCGTTAATTTTCCGTATGTCTTCGCTCACAAAAACGAAACCCCCTTTGCTTTTCGTCCCAAAAACGATATCCAGCTTGCTTGTAAGCCACCTGTGCCGAGCCCTGGTTTCTAGAAACTTTGCGCATATGGAACACTCTTTCTCAGGTGGGATACAACTACCCTAGTGTTCTTTCTCACTGGCGCGCAAAAATTTCAAAGTCTTGCAACCTGACGCGAACCTTGGTCACCTTTTCAGACGACAGTAAACCGTATGACACAAACTCTATGAAGGGATTTGTGGCCGATCACCAAAAGACTAGTTTCTTTTCACGGTGGCCTCATGTCGCTTAGTGAAAGCAAACATAATTCTTCTCGATAAACAACTCAATCCTCTTATTTGCACAGCCGTAGGCTGTCCATGGTCTGACGCTCCAAAATTGCCACTTTTGATCTTAATACCGTTCCGACTATTGCAGGCAAATTTTTCGATATACATTTGATGGGCTCTATTTTTAGGGAACAAGCTCTTCAAATTTTCTGGAATTTCATTTCAAGCTAAATACTGTCCTATTCCAAAAATAAAGCAATGAGTGAGAAGAGGAGATATACTCGACTGAACAACATACTACAAAGTAAATAAACAATGAGACGTGCTTCATTGCTGAATAGAGATTTAGTAGATCTATTCAAGTACCTCTTAAGTAGCCTACTCCACTGTCAAAAATAACAGCACTAGAAACTAAGCGATAAATTTTGTATTATCCATACCCATGTATGAATCCTTCTACACTGTTCACAGAAAAATACCTTGAATTTACCTTTCAACCTTTCACTATACCATGTTGTTTAATTAACCGACTACTTTGATATTCTTTATTTCTCCGCCTTATTCTCTTGCAGTAAATCGTGGAAGTATTTTACATACCATGTTTACAGCTATTGCATCTCCAGCGTCAGCATGACCGATGAGGATGCTGAAGCTGCAAATCGGCTAAAGGTAATTCTATAATTCGGTCTATTAGTTTAAAACCTTTTAGTAGAAAACCACATAATCGATTAACTTTATTTGGCTATCTGTTCTTGGCTTCATAGACCTCTCTTCTTGATTCAATGTGCCGATTTAAATTGGGATCAAAGTGAAGCCAAAAGTCCATTATTTTGATTATTTTCTAATAGCCGCAAAGTAATTTGTTTATTGTGGTCAGTGTTTTCATTCTCTTTGGTAGTTTATGCACTCAAAGCGTGAACAGAAAAGTAAAGTTTAGTGGAAAACTCGTACTTTACTCCATCAAAAATAACAATGTATTATCCGCAGTTCCCTTCTGCTACAATGTACCTTATTTTCAAGCTCATTCCTGCTTTTTATATTCTTCGAATCAGTATCGACTTTTTGTTCCTTACGTAAGTACTGTCAAATGTAATGGCATTAGGTTGAAATAAAGCTGCAAAGGGGCCTAAATTTATTCGCAGCCATACATCTTTCAATCACATCACCTTGCGTATATTAACGTTTCTCAAAATATTTTATAAGGAAAACACGAAAATTGTAAGCAAAAGCTTGAGCTTATTTGACTGGCACCCAGCAGAAAAGTTCCTGTCATCCAGTAGCTAATGACAGAAAATTTCAGCCTGGTGAAAAATACTTGAAAACCGTGCTATCAAACAAAATATGATTTTCCTTCAATTTCATGATAAAGCATTGCAATTAGGAGTACAGACTGTGAGCAGAATAGTTGTTGATGCAGAAAATTACGTCAATGGACAGACGTTAGTAAGAAGTGCTTCTGAAGAGATAAGTGGAAGCGCCTATACTATTTTATACAAAAATCTCTTCGAGTCAATGTAAGCATCGTGTATAAGTATGTGCTGTTAAAATTTTTAGGCCATGTCATCCTTGGGTACTCCTGATCATGGATCACGGACATCTTCCATTACGGTCAACTACCTGCACTTAGATCCTGACAAAGTTTTGTCAGCTTATGGCAAATACGGACGATATCAAGTAGGTGCACAAATTCACCTTCACTCGAATGAACAAAAACATTTTAGATGGTCACATATCTAATACTAAATAGTGTTCATATATTATTTGCTATTAATATGATGGTAATGCCGTTTATAACAGAAGACCCAAAATTCGAATGTCAAATCACACCTCCGGAAGGTGTACAGTGGGTACGTGGTTGCAGAATTTTGTCGCAAACTCATTTCCAAACACATTCTGTTTGCAGGAGTATACTATAGTAGACAAGTGTCATGTAAAAGATGGAAACAATTGGACACTTACCTGTGATAATATTCCGGGAGCCAAGTAAGAACGTCGCCTTCATAAAAAAAAATTTTTGAATTTACAGAACGCGGAAAGGAATTTCCATTTAGGTATAATTATTCCGATGTAAACCATGAATCACTGGCTACTGAGTTCAATTTGGTTTGTGACAACTATGAGTCTGTTGAGCATGGCGCTTCCGTTTTCATGCTAGGTAAGTTTCAATTTTTTTCCGAATTCGCAGAATTCTAAGATCAAAATTTGTAGGTGGAATGATTGTTGCCCCGATTATCACGCAGTTGTCGGATCTGTATGGTCGTCGAATGACATTCCTCATTCCACTTTATGTAGCTGTGGTGGCAAATGTGATCTGTGCCATCGCTCCAAACTACATGATTTTCTTAATTTTTAGATTTGTAGCTGGAGTTTGCACAACGGTAAGCATGAATTTTCATTCATTCAAAGAGTACTTATTGTGCGAAAAAGGGGGGGGGGGGGCAAGGATTGAACCTGACTATCTCTGCGTCACTAACATCCAGAGTTATGAACACCTCCCTCCCCAGAAAAATAAGTGTAAACCAAACTTGCATTCTTTTTATGAGGGCTGAATTACCAGCCTCTAGCAGATCATTGAACAATCGGCAGCCCCTATGTTTCATTTTTGGCTAAAAAGTTCGACTCTGGACTCTGACCCATACAGTACCTTCTACCGTACTTGGAGGCTTTGATTGGTCCGCTTAGTATCGACATAGGGAATCCCTCTATTTGGATGTGCTTGTTACGTTCGAAAATCTGAACTCAACAGTGTGGAAGCTGAAAAATGCACGACTTTGCAAATTGTGTTTCAAAAATAGAACTCTTCAAAAACCGTATCCAGGTGTCTGCCCCCCCCCCCCCATTGCCGGTACATTAGGATATATTCTGATCTAATACCAACGCTTCCATCCAATTTGCTATAAGCTAAATTTCATATTTTCATTTATTTCACCTTCAGGGCTTTTCTGTCATTGGATGGGTTCTCTGTATGGAATCTGTTGCTCTAGAATTTCGCTCAATCACTCCGCTGATGGGAAGTTTGACTTGGGTTATTGGGTGAGCTCCATCTTGATTTGCAATTGGTTTTATATTCGCTTCTTGAACAGGTATGTGGCTGCAGGAGTTCTGCACTTATTCATCTCAAACTGGCGTTGGCTCTACTTCGCTGTTTCCGTGCCTGGATTACTAACAATTCCTTTTTACTGGCAAGTCTTTGAGATTCTGAAATTTCCCCAATCTGATGAAAAGGAAGTTGCAAAAGTCTATGATTTGAGCGTTTTTCTTGATGAGATGATTCAAGAAAATAAAGTGTTCGCAAAGTGCCGTCTACGAGTATTTTGTAATTTCTTAAATACTCGGATTTTTTGCCAAAAGCCTACTCAATTTCAAGCACTGTACAAATGAAACCAAGCAAATTTTTTTGGCAAGCATGTCTGAGCAGTTCTTGTTGATGATCAATGAATCATCAACCTCAACAACCAATCTAATAGCTTACACTTATGAACACAGCTATATCTCAATTTCTAAGTACAAATACTAGGAGGTTTTGATTGTATTTATTTGTTCACATTTCAAAGATTTCGCCTCCTTCTTGCTCGCCCGGAGTGTTGATGATTTATGTATCATCAACCTCAACAATACTATAATCCTAATAGCTTACGGGTATTCCCCACAGGCTACATTCCCCAATCGCTTATATTTGAGTGCCGAATCACTCACCAGTGAGTGGCACCTATCTTCCAGGGGCCGCGCCAAGCCGCGGCATCCTCTTTCTTGCATAATTTCCTGGACAGTCTGATTGTGCACGGGTCAGCTCCGCCTTACTACCTATATAAGGAGCCCCCGATTGTATTATAGGTTGCTCCCCCCGGTTCAACCCCGGGGTTCGTCTGTGGATAAATTATTATCGACACCACTGTCGCCTACAACACTTGGTTCCCACCAAATTGTGTTGATGATTTATGTATCATCAACCTCAACAATTCTATAATCCTAATAGCTTACGGGTATTCCCCACAGGCTACATTCCCCAATCGCTTATATTTGAGTGCCGAATCACTCACCAGTGAGTGGCACCTATCTTCCAGGGGCCGCGCCAAGCCGCGGCATCCTCTTTCTTGCATATATTTCCTGGACAGTCTGATTGTGCACGGGTCAGCTCCGCCTTACTACCTATATAAGGAGCCCCCGATTGTATTATAGGTTGCTCCCCCCGGTTCAACCCCGGGGTTCGTCTGTGGATAAATTATTATCGACACCACTATCGCCTACAACACTTGGTTCCCACCAAAGTTCTCCTTGTGAAAAAATTCCGCAACAGCCAACTTTTATATACACAGCCGCAAAGCTTTGTGATTTATATTCTTTTTTTTCTGTTGGAAAGAAGGAAAGTGTGCCTGGGAGGCGCTCGTTACGTGCGGGCTGCCCATTGGAAAACGTCGCAACGCGGCAGCAAGCGGGGAGAAGTAGTGCAGAAAACTTGTCAGATTTGTACCACTGAATTACTTCTACAATTTGTGTCTTTTTTGTCCTTTAAAGCGCTAATTTTACAAGTTTTGTGGGATAATTTCAAATAAGTAAGCAAAACTAATGTGAGAATAGTCTGTGAACCTAAACAAAGGATGAGGGATTGAGAAACTGTGTGCTGAGAATCATGCTAGCCGAATTTTCTGAGTGCGGTCACTGGCAGCCTGTCGCGCACGATGTTTTCCAATGGGCCGCCCGCACGTAACGATACGCACCGGGGGGCAGCCAACATGAACGATAGCTTGTGCCAGCCATGTGCGTTGCGTAGATCAAATATATTTCAAATTTTACATTTACGCTATAACGACATATAAGAATTTGGAAAAAAAAAACGCTACGAGCTCGGTAGGCCCTAATATTTGCGGTTCCACACCATTTTCAATCCATTGAAGAACGCTTCGCTCTGAAAAATAACACTTTATGCGCGGCATATTGACAACCGCAGGAGTACAGTATGCTTACTTCCAGCTATCGTTCATCTTGGCATACACCCATACGCACCCAGTGTGCCTATGTGAGACAATAGGTGCCTTAGTTTCTTGTGGGAAAACTGATCAGAATCTAACTATGCAACTGAACAGCAGCTCATACGATTGTGCTAACTAATTGAAGTCACAACGCTCGCCATTGTCATACTCGAGAAAGTCGGAAGATTAAAGAATTGCATCGTAATTATTACTATCTCGGTCTATTGCTTACTACATCTACGCGTTGATCAAAGTATCTGATAAAAAATTCAGTAGGCAAAAAAGTACGGTTTAACTTGGTATAATTTAGGCTCACGCCCGAATCTCTTCATTGGCTAATTACCAACAAGAAGAAGAATGGAGTTTCAAAGTAAGTGCTCATTATATTTTGCGCATAGCATGAGAAGCAATGTGCACACAAAACGTTCTTGAAGGCACTATCCACCCTAAGTTGGGGGTCTTGAGCTTTTGGCGGCTTAGAATAGTGAGACCCCCTGTCAAGCCAATGCTTAAGTAGAGGTGTAAAATGTCGCTTCCGTATAGCAAAAAGGCGTGAGGATCCCAAGTTGGCACACCGCCCCTCCAGTAATGGCCGCCGATCCATGCACGCCCATCCAATCACCGTTTCGGGAAACGGCCTGGATGTTCTCCGGAATGGGGGTTAAAGGGTTTTCGCGAACTTTCCACTTCATATTCGGAATCAGGAACATGAGAAGGCTCCGGAACGACCAAAACATGGAAGTCGAGAATCTGGGTGGATGGTGACTTTGAGTGTTCTGCGTAAGAACCAAGAAACCTTAACAGCTGCTGTTCAATGAAACGAGTCAGTCACAATTGGAACCGAGTCAAGTCGGATATCGTTTGCGAGACAAGAAATCAACGACCCCACTCTCTTTCCATTTGCGCGGTCCGATAAAATCCCGTAACGAATTGCACAGAACATCAAAACCGAATCCTACATTTGTCATTGTCCATCCAAACATTCTCAACGGTCTAAGTTGGGAAATAGCTGTTACGTACTTGGTCTAACACGACCTCACAGAACGCAAAAATCTGTGATTATGTCGCAAACTAGCAAATATCTTATTCAAAATTCAAACGCAATGGTATGACATCAAATTCGGTGTGCACATGACGTCAGGAGCCTCAAACGTTAGCTGAAAAATTTGTGAAAACTTTTGCGAATAAAAGCTATGACCAACTTCCGACATAGCTAAAAATTTCCAGCCGGGTGCCAGCTGAGCTGTTCCCGCCCCCAAAAAAATGTTTCATGATTTCTTTCAAAGAGGCTTTTGGATTCACAGTCGTTTCACACTCAGGAGTGAAGTGTCATTGTGCTTAGGCACAGTCTAGCTAAGGCCTCCCAGTTAAATTTTGACCGAAAGCCAACCTAATTAGGTTCCCTTAGATGCTGCAATTAAGATAGAAACAAATAGTTGCAAGTGTTTCTGTTTAGATACATTCGTACCTCATCTCGCTTCAATCGTGTGCAGATCCCATTACATGAGTGCAAATCCGCAGGCGATCTTGAAGCAAAAGCTGAACAAAAGAAGCGAACGCTTTTGGATATATTCAAGAGCCCTCCGCTTGTTCTCCACCTTATTCTCAACGCATATGTTCTGTGAGTCATGAATTTACTTGACTTGTAGTTCTTTTGCTGTGCAAGATATTCACTGAAAAACGAGCTGGTGCAGAATCGTCATGAATGGAACTTACTGGGCACTCTCGCTCTTCTCAACGGAACTCAGCGAAGATAAAATGACTGGATTTTTCCTTTCCGGTATAGTTGAAATTCCTGCAGGATTAGCCGCTATAGCACTTCTGGTACATGAAGCTTATTCACATTCATACACAAAACATCCTCGATGTTTTCATCCAGATTTACCTCGACAGAAAAACCGTATCAGTCTTGACGCTGACACTGCAGGCAGTTTGTATGGCTTGTGCACTTTACTTGCCAGGTAACTCAGCTTTTACCAAAAAAAAGACTTCCTTTGATTTAATAGCTATTTCTTGCCCGTTGATCAGCCTTAGGGCCGCATGCCCTAACATCCCTGCGGGGAGCGGATCGCAGCTTAAAAGAAAGCTTTATATTTCGAAACTCCAGATACCTCGATTTCACGTTGTGTACCTATCCGTAAGTATTCCTACTACCCTTCACTATGAACATGTTGAACAGGAGCGAGAAGCTGTACAAACCGCATTTTCCAGCTATTGTATGATCCCTGATGATCCCCAACGCTTTTCTTTGAAGTCACTTTTCTTTCTCCGAAGTTAACGAAATACTTCCAAAGTTGTGCAGATTATCTGACCCAACAGTGCTAAGCATGTTGCTGATAAGAACAAATGATGTTTTGAAGTCATGAAATTTTCGATGATCCACAGGTCGAAGTTTGAGGTTTTCCGAAAAATTCGAATAAAAACTCATTTGTTCTCATCAGCAGCATGCTTAGCATTGTTGAGTTAGATGTTCAGTACAACTTTGGAAGGTTTTCGTTAACTTCGGAGAAAGGAAAATGACTCTAAAGAAAAGCGCCGGGGATTATCAGGGATCATACAAAAGCTGGAAAATGCGGTTTGTACAGCTTCTCGCTCCTCTTCAACATATTCGTAGTGAAGGGTAGTAGGAATACTTACGGACAGGTACACAACGAGAAATCCAGATATCTGAAGCTTCAGAATATGAAGCTTTCTTTTGAGCTGCAATCCCCTCCCCAGCGGGGAGGTTAGTGCATGCGGCCCTTAGTTTGACAATATTACCGTAATTCCACGAGTACAAGACACACTTTTTTCTTGTTTATCACGACCACCTCAGCCGCACCGCCGCACTTCAAAGAAGGCTCTTCCCTGAATTCCTCTAACATAAGTAATGCGCAGCGCCGTATATCCATAATCAGATTCTGTAAGCTGCTACTTTGAAAGAAATAATGATAACCTGGATAAGACCCCAATCACGTCCCACATAAAAATTTCAGATACTTATATCTACCTCAATATTGTGAGACTGTTTCATGGGTATTGTTACCTCTACACATACACAATTCTACAAACATTTGAACATTTGAACATTTTTTTTCAAACATTTTTTTCTGTCACTCTAATCACTACAGGTTTTCACCTTTAGTAGATCCCCGGATCGCCATGATATTCCCGTTACTGGCGAAGGTATGCAACACGATAGTATGGTGTTCGCAACCGCTGCTATACACCGAGTCGACGCCAACCTCTGTACGAAATGTATTCTGCGGAGTCGCTGGATTTCTCGGTGATCTCGGCTCGGTAGCTGCACCTTACCTCAAAAGACTGGTAAAATTATCAAGTGCACCGGTACCAATGGTTAAAAAAATGTTTCAGGAATCCATTCATAAATCAGCGCCTGCATTGGTGATAGTAGTAATGTCGCTGATATCGGCGGGGATTGTATTCATCATGCCGGAGACTAAAGATAAGAAGTTGCCGGAAGACCTGGACGACTTTGACCCAGGACCACTACTGCGTTGGATGAAGAAAAGGAAGGACGAGAAAGTGGAAGAGGTAGAAAAGTTACATCTTTTAAACTAACTGGTAATCAACCTCTTCAAGAATTCGCCGATGTTGGAGACAGAACCGCCGAAACCGATAGCAACAGATGGAAAGGCGGCTGAATTTGAAGCCTAAATTGAAGATCTCCTTTAATGTGACTTATGAAGCTCTACAGTACCTGAAAATACTGTGATTCGATAATAAAAAGGCGCTTTCATGATGCTACTTACGTTTGTATAACCTAAAAATGTCAATAAAGACAATTTATGAAATATTTCTAAATGCACAAAACTAAACAGGGATGAAAAACGTGAAGAGAAATTCAAAGTTTAATAAAAGCTGTAAACCAGGCCCATTTCTTTCCACATACCTTTCCTTGGGACGCGTAGATGTTTTTGTCATGCACCCTCTTCCATTTGGAAATTGAGTGATATCTGTAGCGTTTTAACCTGCTATCAACAAACTCAGAATTTTCACGCAAAGTTCGAACCATTATTAGGGTGATCCAAAAGTAATGGAGGCACCTTGATTTTTTAAACATCCTTCAAGATCTCTTTTTGATTAGCTATGAACAACCAGCAATTTAAACGCTTTTGCATAAAGTGACCTTCGCAGTTATTTTGACACCACCTTGCAGCACCTCACCGACATTTCTCCGAGCGGCGCTTCCAAGAAGCCAGAGACTTTTTGAACGCCATCCCAATTTGTGCTGCTGCACCTGGAAGTCCCTCGACATATGGCATACCATTCGAAAGAGCTTTCCAAGTTCTTTCTATTGATTACTTGGATATTCAAAAATTTCCCATTATTTCATAAAAAGGCACTTTATTCGAAAAAGTACGATGTTTGGCGCAGATTTTCAGATCAAAATTCATGTTTTGGCCCACAATTTTTGAAAATGAGAAAAGTCGGAGTTATTTGCATATGTATGGATAGAGCGTAAAAAGCACTATCAGAAAGCAACTATTAAGGTTGAGCTTATTTGATTACTTTGATGAAAGAGTAAGTAATATGTTTCCTGATACCCAATGCTACATCTTCTTTCTAAAGCCTTGGGACCACCGAGCTATCGTGAATTTAGTGACAGTCCCCTCACCCATTGCTGTGCAGATATCTTTGGTAGGCTCACTTGTTCTATGCGGCGCTGCTGCTCAAAGTTCAAAATTACTTGAAGTGATGAGCTTCAATTTGAGGCGCTTATAAAAATAACGCCACGTGACAATGCCCAACTATAGACCTCGATCAGAAGGTTTTGTTATGTACTAACATCTGCCAAAACTTGGTCTTCCAATTAGCTTTTCTATTCAAAGAAAACTGCATTCATTCTCTAGGTGCCACATTACTTTTGGATCAACACCCTAATACATCGCTTGATTTAGTGCTAATTATTTTAGTAGACAAATTCTATGAGTATAGGAGTTTGTAATATGTCCGCGAATTGTGAAAAAACCGCGGCAGCCACATAAGCTCGCCTTTCGCGTTGCATCGCAGTATCTCGGTTCATGCTTGATCTTATATATAAAGCTGAATGTCTGTTTGTCTGTATGTATGTCTATATGTGTGTACGTATGTTCCGAATAGAAAATTCCATTTCTGAACCGATCTGAACCAAACTTGGCACACATACACTTCGGGCCCCGGCGGGTGTTATAGGCTACTTCTCGTCATCGATCGATATCGATTTTATCAATTTTTTGCAAAATTTGAGCTACCGGGCTGGGAGTTGGCACAGGGGGTAATCGAGCATGCTGATTACGAATATAATAACGACAGGGCCGGGCGGAGCCCGGTTTGCCAGCTAGTAAATTATAAAACCAGTGGCACTATTCAGCTCTGACAAGGGCACCTTCAGGTATTCGAAGGTGCCTATTTGGTCCATGCCTTCACAAATGATAAGGTTTTCGCTTACAGGATGTAAATCCAGTTACATCGCGTACGTACTATACAGAGGCTTTTAATCTGAGTCGCCTCGCTTGGGTCTTCGCCCTACGCGGATAGGTGTTTTCTCATGCTTGAGGTGTTGCAAACACAGTATCCTTAGCCATCAATGGCTGACGAGCTTGGGAATATGTCCCGAAGACACTTTAACGAACTCGAGTGGCTCAAGCGAGGCGGCTCGCGAGGACCCGTACGGCGACCGTACCACTCAAACTGGAAGCCCCGTACATTAACTGCAGCTAAAAAATGGCTAGCTACCGTGTAGCTTCCCTACCCCGAAAGGCACTTCTATGAAACGTGTCTCAAAAATGATTACACTCTTGATTGCGGTGACTCTCTTCTTACAAAGTTTTTTCCTTAGCCTCAAAAACCAATAAGGTTAGAGCACGCTTTAGTTCAGATTTAGAGTGTGGGGAATCACGTATTGCTGTCCATTACTGTAGATTACAATAGAAACTATGAAAGGGGTTGAGCCATCAGTGACTACAGTTTGCTCTAGAATAGATACTCAATAAGTTAATTTTAACATAAGACTAAACTGAGTCGCTAGTTATTATGCTATTCGTACTTCACCCAGAGGCTTTTTTTATACTTTATGCAAAGTACTAGGTTGTTACATAAGTCTTATTACACTTTAATTTCTTACGACGGTAAGTCGTGAACTTCATAATTTTAATAGGGCTCCAGAGTACCGTTCGATAGAGCAAAGCAAGCTCTACAAGATAGTATGCAAAAGTTCGCACCAACTTCGGCCCACTGTGACTTTGCATCCAAAATTTGAGTCGTAGTAAAGGCTCAAAAATTGCGAAAAATTCATATCTTTGTTCAGAAAAATCCTACGAATCACGAATCTCCAACTTGTTCATGAAAAATTGTCCACTATATCAACCTTGCTGCGTTTTTTCCTCATCTTGAAATCGAGAAAAGGAAAATTTTTTAGTTTTTACAAAAACGAAGTTATGCTGTTTCTATTCATATAGTTGTATACTACAACCCCTTAAGAAATAGCCGTAAATTTTCAGCTCTCCAAAAGCTAGCATTGAAGACCCGAGTCAGGGAAGCTAGATTTGGTATTTTTCGAAAACTAAGGCTTCAAAAAAGCTAAAAATTTACAGTTATGCTTCCAAGAGCTTGTAGTATACAGCTATATGAATAGAAACAGCATAGCTTCGTTTTTGTAAAACTAAAAATTTTTCCTTTTCTCGATTTCTAGATGAGGAAAAAATGCAGCAAGGGTACATATGAGTGTCTAATGTAGTGGGCAATTTTAATGAACAAGTTGGAAATTCGTAGGATTTTTCTGAACAAAGATATGAATTTGTTTCTTTTTCAGTTTTTGAGCCTTTACTACTAATCAGATTTTGGACGCAAAGTTACACTGGGTCGAAGTTGGGGCGTACTTTTGCATACTATCTTGTAGAGCTTGCTTTGCTCTATCGAACGGTACCCTGAAGCTCTATCAAATTTATGAAGTTTACGACTTATCGTCGTAAGAAGTTAAAGTGTAACAAGACTTATGTAACAACCTAATACTTTTTTATACTTTATGCGAAGTAAACTGCAAGATTAAACTACCCTAATTCCGGGGAATAAGGCGCACCTTGTATAAGGCGCACTCGCCGCAGCGAAGAATGGCGCAAAAACGCTTTCTAAATGATTGCTCTTTAATTCTTAAAAGCTGAAAACTCAATATGCTGTGTTTATTCTTCACTGCCGATAGATCATGAATTTAGGTATTTTTTCCTCTTCTTAGAATGTATACTTTGATATCGTTTCTACAGGTGGGAGGAAGGTGCTTTCAATGGTGTTTATGGTGTTTGGTGATTCTTTCTTTTGTTTCTGTTACCGATGCTACATTTGTGCTTTCTTCGTTTCCAGTAATGCTACTGATACTGAAACTGAGCTATCCTTTACAATGATACTCCTATTATTTTTAGGTTTTTGTTCAATTCTTGTCAATCTTCAAAAATCAAAGAGTAGGTAGAGATTTGTTTTGAACAAACACCTAGCAGTAGCTTTTTTGCTCTCGTTCTTTGATGTTTTACTCCCAGTAGTGATTTGTTTTGAACAAATCACTACTGAGAGTAAAACATCAAAGAACGAGAGCAAAAAAGCTACTGCTAGGTGGAAGAAGTTGCTGTTGGCTGCTTATGCGGCGCCGTGCATCGCGAACGTCATAGTACACCAGTCCGCGCGCGTACTGCGCCTTATACCCCGGAAATTAGGGTATTAGGGTGAACGGTGAAAATGGGACAGCTTGATTTTCATTACATTTTGGGATGTTTTGTTTCGAGCAACAGCAAGCAGATTGCAACTCAAACGTCACTTACATAAGCGACCCTCGCCTATTAATCCGGCAACGCGTTAACGCTCCTCTCCCACAACGCTTGGCGTGGCGCCTCGAAGGACTCGAACAGGGTTTTTTGAATATCTCGCAGTCTTGCGCTCCCATACCGTGGAGTTATAAAGCGATTCACATACCATTCGAAAGAGTTCTTCACGCTCTTTCAAGAGGTTTATTAAATATATCTTCCTTCCTTTTATTTTTAGATAAAAAAGCAAAACTTGAAAAATTGCAAATTTTTGGCGCAATGAAAATCAAAAAATTATGTTTCAATCTGTAATTTCTCAAGATAGGAGAAATTTGAGGTAAGCAGCATATGAATGGATAGAACATAAGAAGCTCTATCAGATGGTGGCCAGAAAATATGCGTTCACTTGCAGAGAAGTAAATAACACGCATCTTTATTCCCAAAGCTGCTACTGACCATATCTCCTGACCTCATGCGTTGCCAGCAAGCCACAGTGGGTTCGGTGACTGTAGCTTCACCCACTGCAGCAATGGTCCTTTGGATGGTTTCGTATGTTTCACTGCGCAGATACTGCTACAAGTTCCTAATTTGTCGAAGTGATTGACTTTGCATTTCAGCAAGTATAAGAGTTGTTAGGTATGTAAATGACCTAATATAGGTACTGTGTAAAAGAGAGTAATATATCTAATACCTATCGAAATTAGAAAGTTCAATCGCTTTTCTCTCTTGAGAAGCTTACAAATATTCTCAAGGTGTCCCAGTTTCACCGTTCACCCTAATATTTAAGTTTCTAAAACGTTCATGAAAAATTGTCTGATGAGATCAACGTGTTCAAAAACACTGCTACACATTGTCATTTTTTCAATGAATTTTTTCTTGACCTTTTCACATTGGCGTTGTTATAATCAAGATCGATCGATGATTGCTGTACCGTAACTCTAAGGCCCGTATGCACGTACATCCGCGCGGGGAGGCGAGGGATCTGAGAGGGGAAGCGTCATATCTCGCTAGTCTACATACCTTTCTTCT